GATTACAATATAAGACAGAATACCTGTAGACTATCCAACACAGGCCCATAGAGCTCTGGAAAGCCAGAATGCTGATACATCAAAATGTGCATCAACTCAGCTAATGTCTGTAGACATGCCTTTGATGATGCAGTGTTTTCTTTCTTCAGCGTTTTAACCAAATCTGGGACATTTTCTACAATCTAAAATGATAGGGAACAGTGTTAGAGCACCACAGCTTTGTTAGTGTATATACACTATTATATGTTTATCTTCTCATCTTATTATCTTCATTTACAATTTGCTTCAATTTTGCTTACGAAATTCTTAGTTTACCGAGTCCAATCCATGGGCCTTGGGAAAACAAGAATATAATTACAATACGAGGTATTATAAAAAAATCAAAAACAAAATCAAGTAATCATGAGAGTCTTTCTAATGCTGTGTGCAGCTCCAAAAAGAGCGATCTTCTGTACTTCTGTGATAGAGATGTCCCCTTTTAAATGGTTGACATATTGTTCTAGTCCTTTGTGAATTAACCCTAGTGCCCCAATGACAATAGGTATGGTTTTTGTTTCCATACCCCACATTTTTTAAATTTCTATTTCTAGATCTTTGTACTCTGATTATTATGATTATGATTATGATTATGATTATCTTAGTTCTTCAGAAAAGTGATACGCAATAGACCTCTTCGGCTCTGACGTAATGCTTTCCCATTTCAGACCATGTGTCATATTCCATAAAGTATCATTTCTTTGTTTAAGGTTTGYGTCGGTTGCACATCATTGAGAAGACACATGAATATGGATACAACTCAAACAAAGAATATTATTCTCAAGGGAATGACACGTGGCCTGAAATGGGACAACATTACGCYRAGCTGAGGAGGTCTATTATGACTAGGTTTTTTCAACCTTCTTACCAAATGAAATGCTTGTGGAGAATGCTTGAAGCTCAGGAGCATGTGTGATAATACTCCCATAGTACTGTCTCTGACCATTGGAAATAACAGTCTACTAAAAACCTGTAATGAAATAAAGTGAAGACATCAGGGAAGATCCCAGGAAATTCTTTGACCTCCTAAATAATATATTGTATAATATAAGGTTTCACCTATCTGTAACTACACATTAATGTCTGTTGTCTGCCTGCCTGTCTGCTGTCTGTCTGTCTCATTGTTGCTTTGATTGCTTGTAAGTCTGTCAATCTTATTGTCATTGGACATCTTTCTCTATCTGTGTGAAGGGTTCTTAAAGATTATTCCATTTTTCACTCATTGAAAGATTATTTTTTTAAATTCCAAATTCAATTACAAAATTCTTTAAAAAAGACAGAAATGGTACGTAAAAATTATATTTACCAGTTACAGTTAAAAAATTGATTTTAAAACTGTATGTTTGTTAGATATTTTAATGACAACATAGAATTTGATTTAGTGGTTATAGTCAAGATGATACATGTATTTTTCTAATAATTTCATAGCCCATCTACTTTTGGTTAGTTTATGCATCATCACCCTTACTTGTTTCACTGTTTTTACTACATTATTAAATACCTCAGCCTCAAACAAGTCTAGGCTGATGACCACAACCTCAAGATAGAATCTATACTAATAAATGTTCATAGAGAAAATCAATTAGGCATTCTGTTATACAATGTATTTTGTGTTAATTCAATCAAAATTTTTTTTTGTCTATTTCAAAATTAAATTGATGTATAATATATAATAGATAATATAATTAATTGTCTGTACATAAATTGGGTTCTATTTTATCTTTTTTAAATATTTTCCTTATTTTCTATTTTACCTGAGGTAGTTTTTCAAGAGTGACTTGAATTAGGATATTGTGTTTTTTAGCCATAGCGAGAGCCCGTAAAAAGCATATTATCCACTGATCRACTCGTCTTCCCCCAGGCCAAGACAGCCAGCTAATCATACGAGTTAAAGCTAACGCAAGGTTCTCATCAGACACTGATGGACTGCAAGCCACCATTTTAGTGGAACTGTCAATCACTTCTGGGGTAAAAAACTGCACAACTGATGCAACAGCAACAGATGGGTTTGGTCCATGGGAGGAAATAATTTTGAATAACTCAGTTAAAATAGGTAAAATGTAATTTTGATTCTYCATCAGTACACGATTCATCAAGGCTGCAACGAATCCAGCATTTCTTATACAAGTTTTCAATTCCTCTTTCGAGGATTTTGGTAAATCTGTTTTGGCAAGACAATACAGTAATGAAAAGCACGTTTGGACAAGATGGTCCCCAACTGGCCAGCAATGGTTATATTCTATAAGAAGACGACAAACTGACGCACAGAAGTCTATATCAGACTTCTGGCTAATCCAAATATTAGCACGATGACGAACTATTGTGTAGAGTGAAAATATTTGAGTCGTATGTTGGAGCAGTTCAAACGATGTTCTGATGTAATTCACCGATGCAACGCTCATTTCTTGACTGTTTTCCACATAGCTCAATAAATATTCCTCCGTAAAAAATCTCTGGAAGACTTCTTTGTGGTGTTTTGCCCACGAAGTAAGGATTAATTTTCCRCTGTCATTCAAAAAAACTGTGTTTTCTTTGGCCATCCATTGAGAACTAATCTCAAAGATGGATTTACACTGCTCTTCCGGTATCTCGTTTGCTGATTTAGACACGAGTTGTTGTATCAGTATCTTTTTTACGTCTTCTGGATGGTCTGAAGCCACTATTCCTTTAAGTATTTGGTCCATATTTAAAGATCTTGAGTTAAAAACCCATTTTTTTCGCTGATAAAACAAGACGTACAGTCAATCTTCCTAAACTTGTCTTTTTCCGTGATACCCGGATGAAGCGCAAAATCATCCTAAGGGGGTAGGAGACGGGATTTTTTTTTCTTGAACTTTTCTAAATTTCCTGCATGCTTTCAATATTTTTAAGAAACGCAAGAAAACGCTCATTAAAGACATAAGAGAGATCTTTTTTCCTTTTTTCCAAAAAAAGAGGAACAAAAAAAAAAAAGAAGAGAAACAAACCACAAACCAGTACATAATAAAACTAAAAGCTTTATTTTACAATGCATAGAAAGKTTATGTACATTTTATTCTACAATTTTACTCAAATATGAAATAATATTTAAAAAATATCATTTTTTTGGTGGGGCCCCGTTTTTTGGGAAATATGATCAATTACTGAAATAACACAGGAAGCCCAAATCCAGTGTTTTTGTTACGAGTCGAGGTGCTGTTAGTCGGAGAATGGCAGTTTTACCCCTGGGCCGGKTTGTTCAAAGCTGGATTAACGCTAATCCAGGATTAACTCTATAGGTCTTATTAGAGTTAACCMAGGATTAGTACTAATCAGGCTTTGAACAACTGGGCCCTGAAGACAAGTTTACCAAAATTCAGTTGGCTGGCAGTCTTAATACCTTCCCCACCCTCATGAGCTCATCCCCATTTATTGTCTCAGTCACTAACTATGCCCAAGAAGTACTAGCATAAGATTCTAGGATCTCGCTTTTACTACAATTAYGTATGTATATACAATGTGCCTTATGAGTTCTGGATCGAAAACATAAAATAGCTTTGAGCATATTTTGCATCATATTTCAAAAGGATCGCGCATGCGCGCGCTTTTAAATATATATCGAAATATATCGTCCACTTTTTTATTATCAATCTAAAATAGATTTCATTTGTGAGAGAAATCACGTCATGCAAGGTCATAAAAATCTCCTGCTAACTATTGTCCCGAAAATTCAAGWTAAAGATCCAAAATCTCGTACATCGTGCAAACCTAAAATACAATAGAATTAAAAGTGTCCTCGATTATCGAAGTACTGGTATTTATAATTTTGTAAAACCAAAAACTTCATTGAAAATTGACTCGAACTTGAGTTTTTGTCCTTTTTATGTGATAAGTCGCATAATATTACCAGCATTTAATCACTTAACTATCATCCATTCATTATCCTCTCTCTCTTATATTACCTTTACATCATACTTGACCGCATGGCCATTATGCAGGAAAATAAGTCCTAGAGATTTTTCCTCTGGTAGTGCATGGATAAGGCACATATTTATCCCTAGACTAGAGGAACTTCATGGTGTATGTTTTCTGGAATGGCMGCTTTGAACCATCGCGGGATGGTAACCATGAGAGGAGGGTCCACAGGAGGCCAACCGAATATAGTCTTTCCTGAATTCTGTCTCACATAAATCAGATTAAACCAGATTCAATTATCCCTGCCTCCGGTCATGGCTGCCATCACGTGATGGTGCGCGAAAAGCCTCTATATRCAAAAGCAAAAGCTGGAAAGATGTGTTGACTTTGGTACTGAGATAGATGCCATTTTTGCAATTTCTTCATCCCTGACTATAACTAATTGTGACTGCACTTACTAATTTTCCCGCCAAAATCSAATCACGTGACATAAACATCCCTTGCTTCTTTATATACATTCCTATTTTATATATGTATATGTACAAACACATGAACAATAAATAGAGCAGGTTTTGTATAAGCGGGAAACCCTGGGTAACCATGACACCCAAATGGCTTCGGTAATCAAGCACTACTATGATTGGTTGAAAACAATCATTTCGCTCTTTGATTGGTTTAGAGACAGCCGTTTAAYACCATTTAAGGATTGAATGTTGCAGTTATTCATGACTGCGACTGTTTTCTGCTCATTAAAAACTGTTCGTTTTGATAATTAGTTTCATAATTGATTTAATAAAGGATTTCTAAAACACGGCTAATATAACCGACAAAGCTGATAATTCGATGCTGACTGCCAAAACTTTCTCGGATGCAAAATATTTTGTAATAAAGGTTGTGTGTGCAATCTCKTATCTAGAGCCTGCGCTCCTCCCGGTCAGCAATTTTCATTTCCCGTTGCTGACTTGGAGGACTGCAGGCTCCGGGTTGCGTGCGCATCCAAACTTTAAGAAGACAGAAGTAGTTTCCTATCCTATCCGGCCCAAAACAATTCGGTGCAGGAGTAAAAGTTTGGAGAACGAAAAGCGCACCCTGAAGAAAAAGGCCTATTGATCTATAATTTAACAGATCTCATACCTACGRTAATATATGATTTCGTATATTAACTCTATCTTCACAACAAGTCGATCGATCGTCGCACAATATTTCAACATTTTCGGTCAAAGTATGTCAGCCGATTGTCTTCTTGCTAGTTATATATACCACTATCATCTAAATATACGTAGCACAATGAACTGCACGGCTCGTTGTCGTTTGGCTGTATTAACACCATGTTTTGCTTTACCATTTTTCTTGATTGCCACGTATAGTTCCTTGTTCTGGTTGTTGCTGTTGGATCCACTGTATTCATTTGAAGAAAATGTGTGAAATCCTGATTCTTCGAGCTTTTCTTTGAAAAGACATTCGTCATTTAAGGTTTGCTAAAGAAAACATTAATTAAAGGAAATATTAATATTTTTTGTAGACGACATGCATGGACAAGAGCACAAGTGGAAATGTCACGCTGGATTCCAGCAATATGGCGTCAACTTCAATCAGCTGATAAAAATGTTTGAATCTCATTATCTACTCAGAACGGTGGTCAAACACTGCACTGACCACCACGTGTTGTCAACCAAAAACTTGCAATTCAGCTGATGAACATTCCGCAAGAGGTAGTAGACTCAAATGAAACCCAGCATTTGCTTACAAAATAACAAGGATATAATGAGACATAGATGTGTGATATACTTGCGTGACAAGATGGTGACCAGAGTTGAAGGTGAGGAGGGCGGGGAGCAGGGTAAGAGTACAATCAACGTTTAATTTTAGCAAAACAAAAAACAAAMMAAAAATCATGAAAGACTTACTGTTGCATAAAGAATTCCATATGCATTCATTGCTAAGTATTTCTGTGCTAATTGACCTTTAAACCGTACGATACTTTTACCGACTGACTCCATGATTAAATTAGCTGAAAAGAAMAAAACGAGACAGCTATAAATAAATTATACTCCTAGATAATATAAAACATAATTATACTGTCCCAACGTAGGCATTTAGTTACGGCTACTGAGAGGTACGTTGCAGTAATGCTCTGAATCTGCCGTCACAAGAAAATGAAGTAACAAAAGACACAGCGGCCATGTTGGATGATATGACAGAACAGACTAATGGCGAATCTTTTGTTAAACTCATCYATCATTGCGGCTGAGAAAACCGTCAMTTCGAGCAGCTAACTAGTGTTCTTGCGYAAAAACAAGCTATCTAAAGCGATGAAAGCCAATATGAGACTCTCGAAAGAACTGGATTAAAAAAAGCACTAAAGAGCGTGTGAATGACCTTAAAATATTCTGAGCGGTGCGCTTGACTGCCCGTCTCTGATTGGTTGACGATCTCATACTCAGATCCCTTATTTCTTACTGCGATTGGTCGACAAAATTGATTGGTTGAAAATCTGCAGTAGTAGTGTTACATATAGGTCAAGGAATAAGGATATCCAGTGAGTCCTTGCGCCTTTCGTAAAGCGGCTTATATGTTTAATGCAAAGTGAAGACTTTGAAATTTAATGATGTGTAATACAAGTCGCATATAGACCAGGCTATGTATACTTCAATCTGTTTTTCACTGTCTGTAWTTGTCTTAATGTTGGTGTAGTTTGCATGAGTTTAAGTCTAGGCGTATGATAGTCGTGTTGCTAGAGTATTCAATAAACTTTACAGCAGGCAATTTCAGGCATTATCAGACAAATTGTCATCACTATTTAAGAAGATTTGAACGCARTCAGAAGCACTAAAAACGACCGATCAAAGAAATACTTGAACAACATAACCAACCGTCACAGCACGAGAGGTTTATCTAACATCTGTTCTCCCGTTGCGATTGYTTTGCTTTTTTCTAGCCTTCAATTTACTGCCCTTTTGTTTTTGAAAACAAGGGCTCACTTCTTGATTAACCTCTCGACCAGGGGGGTCCATAATATGTCTATTAAGCTCACGAAACAATTAAGTTACTATACGAGAACTTTTGCCATTCCTCTATTTGTGTTTTAGAAAATCGGCACATTATAGTTGACTCTGGATGGCCTTTTTGTTTACAGTGATAATAATACATACGCTAAACCACTTGATCTCTTTTATTGAAATGAAATTTCCGGTGAAAACCAAAAGACAAATAGCCAGGCTGACATTTTGTGAAGAAATTTCTAGCAAGAAAAAGACCAACCGGGATCGATGATGATGTAACTTGTACAAGTGCATGTACAAGGTTGATTGGTTTTAGAGATGGTTAGAGTAAAAATAGCTTTGAAACTGTGAGAATAAACTTAAGGCATCTATATGTAGGTATAATCTCTCGGTTTTTGCCAATTTAGGTCTGTCATGTCGTGGAAGCGTAGAAAACATCAGCATGATAGAACAATTGTCATTTCACGGTCTTTTGCTCCTCAAGAAACTTCAAGTTATGACATATATACATTATGTATGCGGTGCACATTCTGAAAGCGGCCAATATATCGATGTTTAACGATAGGGATGGATATTCGATGTGTTATCTCGCGTTATCAAACAATAGCACTAGATAAGGGATCGTTATATTTATGATCAATTAGCGGTCCGTGTTGAATTGTGTAGCAATTAGCCTATTGACACGGAGACTTGGATATGGCGTCGTCATTCTTTAGACAAATCAAACATCCATTTGCGGCCTAATCTCTACTAAAATGGTTCCACGGCTTCCTATTCATTGCAAGTGTTGATTTTTCTTCCACTATTCCAATAGATTTTAAGGAGTTCGTGTCAACGTGGGAGACCAATGCGAGAGAAGTATTAATAACATTCGCTAGCGTTAATCCGCTCTGCTAATCCGTTTAGCGGTGTTTTGGGTCACCTAATCTGTCATATGCTATTTAGGTTATGCTATTTATATGCTATTTAGTCGATGTGGATCTTTGTTAAATTGGATGTAGTATTACCAAATGAATTGATCTCATATATTCTATTCTCAGCACTATTGACGCGAGGCAGCTGGACTTAACATTCTTTCACGACTTTGACAAATAAGTTGCTAAATGCTTTTCAATAGTCCTGTGAGCCAATGTAAATCACTTTAAGCTTGACCGTTTTTGTTGTCTTATTAGTTCTAATGACTCTAACTGACGCCATTATTATCATGCAAAATGTCGGCATCTCCTGATCTATGCTTAAGAATGGAACAGCCTCTCCACTCGATCTTGACTGCTTACAACCCATGACAATCGTCTACATGATCGACCAAAACCTCACTTGAGTTTGGCTTTAGTATAGGTATAAGCCACGCGAAAAGTTTTCAAACTTTCAATAAAACTTATCATTACTTCTCTTACAGGACTGTAAAAGAAGCCAATACATCTTTTTTGAGGAAGCTTAAAAAATCAGCTCCTTTTTGGGTCGGTTTTTTTTTCAGTTATCGATAGAAGGTCCAATATGTAACATAYTTTTAAGTACCCCTGTCTGTCTATGATTTTTTTTCCCCGGGCAAAACTATCAAATTCATCGACAAATATATCATTATCAATAGATTTTTTTAAAGAAACTTTATCTTTGAAATCTACTATCAGAGCGCTTTGAGGTGTCCTGAATAGGCCAATTTGATTAACCTTGAAACAACCTCTGTGATGATCAACGTCAGGGCGCAGCTAGTTCATAGATCGAAAATGAAATTTTGCTTGTTAGGTTTTGCGAATAGAGGGGAAAAAAGAGACTCGGAGAAAAATCAGGAAGGGAAGCGGAGATCTAAAAAAACTTTACTGAAGTAAGCCGGAGGCTGTTGAGTCGAGACCTAAGGTGTGTTATACAAGAGACGCTTCAAAAGTTTGGTTAAGTTACTGCTAAGTGAAGTAACAGAACACTGCTGATCGTGTTTGTACAACAAAGTGGATACAACTTACCAAACTTGCTGTGACGATGTTTTGTGCCTTGGATTTTTCTTGAAGAAGGAATTTCTAGGAAGTATCCTGTCCTGGAGTACATTTTGACAATTGCATAGTTGGTTGGGTGCCTAGAAATTCTCGTCCAATCGGATTCGTTATGTTGTGGTTTCGCAGGAGTAGTTGGACGATGCCGCAGAACTCCTTTAGTTGTTGCTTGTTTAGCGATGTGGGAGTCTATTTTCTTAATCACCTTCGAAGATGAGGTTACCATCTGTAAACCCATCAAAACTGACAAACACATGAACTGTCAATATAGAAAAAAAAACCATCAGTTAATGTATTCAACAAGTCTGGGGCTGAAAGGAAAGAACGTCAACGGTTTTCCAAGCGTTGCTTCAACGACTGCAACCTTCAATTAGTCACGACTTTGAAGAAATTTAAAGTCAAAATTAATTAATCCAAGTGTAAGAAATTAAAAAAGGATATGTGTCGCAGGTCAACGATGTTTAGAAATAAATTACTCCAGACTGATAATCTAGTATTTAGTAGATGTGTTGTAAACAGTGATAACAAAGACGAAGTGACTCTTAGTTACCTTGATGATTGCGAGCTCCATTCCTCTTGAGATGATAGACGATAATGATGATTCCAATGAGTGTCTGGTGCAATTTGTATCGTCATGACCGAAGTACCGACATGGTGTCGTTACGTTTAGAAACTTAGCAAGTCATGTGTTCTCGTAGCGTGAATACGAAGGCCTTCCTTCCGTTCTCCACCATTGTGTTTGGACCACAGTATAAGAATGTATTAAAGGCGCGACTGCCGACAGCTTATTAATATCTCTTTTCTACCCCAGACGTGAATTAGTGTTGGACGATAATTGTTAACCTCTGAAGAAAGGCCCGAGTGCCGACTATTAAAGTATGACATTCCAATGGGGTGCATATCGACAATTACTATTATTGGTGCTTGTGACGTTTCCTGAAGATTTCATACACTCCACATGCGAGGCACCTGGTATGAGCCAGGTTTTAGAATAGATTCTACTTCAGGAATAAACTTCACGGATATGCGCCATGGAATCCACTGATGTGTAGTTGCCGTATTATGTTCATAAAACAAGCCGCTTTGAATGCCTGGGATTCTTTGCTACGAGTTAAATACCCCTTTCGGCACACCACAAAAGGATGCATAAGTCCATCCAAAAAGATAACCATGTTGTTCGTGTTGAACTGCCGTCAAAAAAAAAAAAAGAAAGAATGATTGAGTTGCGCATCCAATGGCAGCCGTTGTTGCCACCATCGATCAATCTCCTTGCAGATTCCTAGATTGCAGGCTTGTTGGTTTTGCATCTAAGTGCGTAAATGCCACGCTCTCACGCGCACGATTGTTACTCCTAAGTAAATACAAACTGGATCCACTTAGGAAGACAAAAATAATGAATGATTTCAATTCACAAGAGAATTAAGCGTCGTTTAACAAATGCCTTCCATAGGTACCGRCATTTGTGTCTGTTGGTTGGGTAATAATCCTCGAGCAGTTCTTGCACGCAACTTGTTGTTTCCCTTAGTCTTTTCCACCTTGCGGAACACACACTACAAAAGTTAATTCGAGGTCAAACCATAATTTCCGGTATCCCTCACCAACTGGGCTTCCGTAAAACGCAGTATTCAATGTCAAAGCATAAGTACCTTGACTATTTACCCGTATCAGTCATAAAAGATTTCGATCAACTACGGAAAGGACCACGACTTTTTTGTCAAGAGATGTGAGTTAGTCAAATTTGTCCAGTAGTTTGATAGCCAAATGAAATCCAAACAAGGATCATCCAATTGGTTAAAAAAAATAAAAATAACAACAACATATCATGGTGTTAGTGTATAGCAATTTAAGCAAGAATATTAGGATGACACTGTGAACCATCTAATTGCCCTCCTGGGCTTTAGGGAATGCTACCGATTCACTAAACATCTTAAGAACAGACTGACGTTACCATAGATACGATCTATAAATATTGAAGGTTATTGCTCAACTTCTTAATCCTAAATGCGAGATTCGTCTTCCGAAACTAGAATCATAATCACGACGCTTTGAACTGTACAAATTACGAAATTATACCAATTTGTAAAACAAAAAGGAACAATTTGCTAAAGCGACTTTGGAATGTCGAAATTTAATTGATGTATTATCTGAAAGTTAATTTACTAAAAAGAATTAATTCCAAAAATAAAATAACTACAATTTCGACCTAAAAGCCAAGGTCGAGGGCTTAAATCACTGATGAATGTCAACGGTGATAAAAAGCCAGGTTTTTTGTTTGTTTTTCTTATGGAGTTTGCATCAAAAGGTACGGCTGAAGAGGTCACTACTGATGACGCAGTGAACTCAACTCRAACATATACGTATGTTACGTTAGCTGTCTGTGATGTATTTATTGTAAGCATTGCGGTATATTGGGTCTAAGAAGCGCAGCTGCACAGCTGTTAGCGCGGTGACTCTTGGTGGATATGATCGCGTGTTTAACGACATCGGCGCARCGGGTCACATCAAAACATGGGTGGCATCTGTAAACTTTATGAGGTTCTAATGTTTGCTCGTTATAAGTGTTGTGAGCTAAGCAGATGACACGCAAGGCTTGATCTGTTACTCGGTTCTCAGTATAATAGTTGTATTCTGCAGCATTTAGTGACGTTACGAAGTCATGATCTAGAAGTAAAACTTTCCCCAAACATTATTCTTTCCTCTTCTATTCTAAATCCTTTAAAAGTTTGCAAAAAGTGTATGGCTTGCAACTCCAAAATAAATTTCTTATTTCTATTTCTTATCGAACCCTGTAACAAAATATTAATCTGGACTGATCAAAGTCAGGGCACGGCTAACACACAGATGGACTCTTGCAATCGTCAGGTGTTAGACACCGTAACTGAATATCACTCAAAAAGACTTCGAGACGTTCACGGTCTACTGATGCAACAATATCGACTTGAAGTGCAACTTCCTAAGATCGAACYGGAATACTAAATGCTAGGGTTGTTTTGAAAGCATCCAAAAAGAAAAACCGTGATTACTGTGATTGGATTCTTAGACGTTCAGTTTATGGATAATAGGCTTTTGATGCTTAATTTGGATCTACTATCCCCTATGCACGTTTCCTTTCTGATCTTCCCAGATACTTAAACGATGTGTCGAAAGAATCTGTCCACGTGTAGAACTTAGAACATATATACGTTCCTGGTGGCCCGCAGCAGATCAATCCGTTTCCAAGCAAAAAACTTCCGGTAGGATCCGTCTGTAATTGCGTAACGGTTTTATGACCGCAATGGCCTTCTCGCGGATGGAAATGTAAAAACAAGGAAACTAAAAAGATTTAAAAGATTAAGCGGAACTAACTACCGATTTTGTTTAGTGGTTTCAGCGGTGACCGAAGTCTCTTAGTGGCGAATTTCGTCTTGGAAAGTCACCCTGGTGAAAGTGTGGTCGTTTAGACTAARATAAAAGCCGATGGCATCAATGATAGTCTTAGATGACAGCCCTGGTACGAGAATGATGGCTTATGATGAATAGTCTTAGTTTATCTGATAATTAAAGGCTTCCGATTCCGTGTGAGATGGCCATTAGGTAWACCACAAGCCAGGAAAAATGTTCTTAATCTGCCTAAGAAAACACTAACTTATGCTTGAAACACCAAATCGTGATTCATGTTGAGAAGATCTATCTTGCCGAGAGGAAATTTCTAGTGATCAGGGATGACGTCTGGTTTTGCGTCGACGGCAAAGCGGCTTAGCGATCGATGGATCCTCACCTCGTTTTTAAGCAACAGCGCGATTGAAAGACAATTGAGATATTTCTGGAAGTGAGTTGGCGTTCAGTTGATGTTATTCAGAGATGCTCTTCCAAAACAGCTCTCGAAACAAACAACGGCAAAACCAAACATTTTTATTTACGACAACATTGGTGTAAACCATTACAGTAAAAGATGTGCCACTGAAGTAAAATCAACTTTACCATTAGTCCAATGGGTAGTGAGTGCAGACATGAAATTTTCACTGATGATGTGCCAAGATAGAGGAGGCTAGCCCGCCTACTATGATTCTTTATCGGAAGAACTATATAAAAGTACAGAATTTACCACAAAAGAACAGTAATAAGAAAGAGTGCTGCTCCACACACGTAGCCACTTTCTAGATTTAAGGTTTCCCGAAGCCAATAATAGAAATAAATTTGTAAAAACTTCTTAAGATAGTGCCCACGGTTTCCTAAATGCAACACGTTCAATTTGTTCAAACACCGAAGCAGGAAATCTTTTGTCGGTAAATGATGAGCTGGATTAGCCGTCCTTTTATATTTGTTCAAAAACCGTACGGTGTCTAGACTATTGATTCTGTTTGTTTTGGAACAAAAAAGGTTTGTAAAATAGATGATTTKTTTAGTATATCTGACTATGAATACAGACTGATTTTCATCGTTTCCCTGCATTTCACTTTACCTTAGTTTTGCAAACCTTCTTCTAGCTAATAAAGCATTCTTCTTTTATCTCTCTRCTACTTGAATATTTTTTTCAATTTTTAAAAAAATGGGTTCGCTTAAGTTCTTTAAGATTTAAGATTACAGTTTTTCCTTCTCGCAAACGAAAGACAAACATGACCTCGTTTTCATCCATTTCTCTGTATTTCACAGTTTGCCTTTTGCAAACCTTCTCAACATAGACAAGTATTCTTCTTTTATGGCTCTACCACTTAAATATTTTTTTTCAATTTTTAACGGGATTCCTTACATTCTTCTCTAAGATGAGGCAAACATGACCACGTTTTCATCCATTTCTCTGTATTTGATCGCTTTGACTTTTGCAAACCTTCTGACCAAAGACGAATATTCCTTCGTTTATCTATAGTACTTGTAGATTTTTGCGATTCCTTTTACTTTTAAAGAATATTCCAATGGTCAACTGATGTAAATTTTCATAAATAACTGACTCCAACTGAGTCCTGCAGGCACCCGGTTGCACGAAGCCTAGATAGCGCTATCTGACGGATAAATCTTATCCAGTGGATAAATTTATTGGATTTATCCGCCGGATAGCGCTATCCAGGCTTCGTACAACCGGGCCCTGATGAGTAGAGTGATTTTCATAAACCCGCGAAAGAAATACCATCAATTAGTGTGTAATAGTAGTGAAATGACAACATGAAAGAACACAATGGAATTAGGGTCTACTAAAATTCGTATTAGGCTAGTGTGTATTTCAAGGGTTTTTGAAAACAACTGTAATCATTTTTGTTTTAAACAGATGAATTATCGTTACCGTCAGAATCACGGGAAGGTTCGCTTCTGCATTGTGCTACACGTCGTCATTTGGATATTTAAGTTTTTAAACTATAAAACAGATTTTAYCAGAAGACAATTTCCCTGTTGTACTATATATRTATTTAGWATTGTAGTGCTTGGTTCTTCACGAAGGCTACCTGTGTAGCTGGCTGTTGTCGAAAAACTAGCCAAACTCGACTGAAAATTAAATTGACGAGAGAAACTCTTTCTTAATTTCTAAGTTAAAAACAAGAAATGATATCAGTAGGTTTTTAATCATCTTCAAACTTCATTTCTTGTTCTGTTCTCATTCTATTTCTTTTCGTTTGATCCATGGATAAATGAGATGTTCGTCTCATGATCATCCACGGTCACATAAAACTACTGTTCAGCGTCTTATTCACAAAAGCCATGCGCACACGCACCAATGGTCGGTCGTTAAGACGACCAAACTATTCGCTAATGTGCAAATAGTTAAGTGAAACAAAAAGATCGCAACCCTCATTTTCTTTGTGGCTCAGACCAACGACAAACACTCACTAATGGCATGTGTCAATGAAASCCGTTCCACTAAACTCGACCAAAACAGAAACCTTACAAATAAAAAGACCAAAAGAGCTTCATTTTGGAAATAAAAATGAGGAACCAAAAATGAAACCATTCCCTTAAAAAAAGCATTAAGAATCATTGCTTTATGAAAGCCGCTTTTCTTCAATTARTTTGGGACATATTCTTATTGGATGTGGTAGCTCTCTTTGATGTCATCTTTTCTTGTCATTTGTATTGRTTCTTTAAAGTAAAATAAATAGTARCTTCYAATATGCAAAACAACTCAAAAATAAGCTCTTGCTAAATTATTTGGATTGCGACTGGGCATTAATTCAAAGGATTCACAAGCATACAAAACCTAATAGACGTCTATGAAAAGAYAACTGTATGATAAAATTGTGATGTTTGTGAGCTCGAAGCAATTAACAGGGCATGGATAGCGACGGCAGTGGTGCACCGAAGTTCTGCGGTAACATTCTTGTCCGTCGTTCCAAACAACGGAGTTTTATTAATAAGACTGGTTTTGAAGGAGTCTTTGGTGTTCTGACAGATCATGAATTTATGTACTATCGTAATTCCTCTCAGTGGGTAAGCTATAAAAAGTCTTCGATAGTACTTATAKAAGTCTCTAACGTCAGTCTACAATTCGTAGATGTGCTTATCATTTGTTYGTAGTTAATGCGGAGGACTGCTTGACAGCGATTAAAACTCGTTTTTATTGACGACAACGTAGCGTATCTAGGATGGTTCCAAGGGGTTTATCATTAATACTCTTTTTCCCAACTGATAAAGTTACAGTTAAAAATACTTAAATTATCAAARAAAACTTTTCCTTTATCGAGCCATTGAAGAGTAAAAATTCGCAAGTAATGTTCGATAATGTCATGAAGATACAGCAAAATTAAATGGCAAAAGAATTAGAACTCTAGCATCTTAGGTAACCGAATACCGACGAAAAAGAAATTAGCTCTCTGTTTGCGCAAGCAAATAGATCTTTACATTAGGAATAAGTTGTGAAAATATTAGCAAAAAATTGAACAGTACATTTTTGAATGTTTCTACAAATCTATGGAGGATTGATTTTAAAAGCAAAGATTTTTGAAATGGTTAAGAGATTTGCTGTACCCGAAACCGCTGCCTTGATATGCGGTTCTTCACAAATGGATACATTCTAGACCATTATGTATCTTAGTAGCAGCTTAACCTTTCGAAAAAAAATCAATTGACCCATATTTACAGTACTTTGTGCTTAATAATACAAAGAGAACTGCAGAAGTTTTGAAATCTACTTTCTAAACAGAACGTTTTGTCTCGGGACGTATGACGCATTTAAATTGCGCACGCTCTTATTCTTCTGACGCAAATGTAAAACCCGGGTGTAAAACCTTTTTTTTTTTTGACAGACCAACAAAGAGAAACCGCAATTGGTATTCAAAACCTCTGATATTCAAGCAGTTGAGGAAGTAGATGACGTTGCGTTTAGCAGACAACTGTGTTTTCAGGTATGACTGACTTGAMRTGAATACTGTGAGGTWCAGATATGGTACCTTCGTAAAWTAGATGATGATGATGGTGATGAAGATGATGACGATGAAGTTGAGGAAAGTGATGATGATGATGGTAAAGATGTTGATGAAGATGAAGATGAGAATAKTGATGATCATGATCATGAAGCCGAGCTCAGTAAGCGAACAAGAGAACACTGTGGTGGAGAGGAGAGGTTGCACAACCTCTGACATCAGTCATYATAATAACTCGAATAACTCGTAATATTATCGTTGTTAGATTATTTATACAAGTCGAGYAAAGAGAGACGAATCCAGACGTACGCTATACTTGGCAGCATATGAACTGGACGAGCTGCGTTCATGGATATCATCAATAAGATCAGGTTATATWCATAGACTGTTCAACTTCCTCTCTGATTGCTTTTGTCTATAAGTGTATATTAGACGCGGGTTGCTGTCGTCTTTTGATGATGAAAAATGACATTAAAAATGCTCATTTCAATTTTATATTCATCTACATCCGTATTTCTTCACAAAAAATCATTTTTATAAAATTTGTTGATTTTTACCAAAGACGGTAAACAAATTGGCAAATTTAAGAAAATAGGAAGATGAAAACCAAGTCTACTTGACTCTCTAAAGGAATCAMATCTTGATCATCGCCGCGTACTTCATGTCCAGCATAAGTTCCCTTCGAAGATCTTAGAGACCACACTTGATTGACAGTCGTCATGGTGACAATCTTGATGTCTGTAAGAGATCAAATAAAAAATAATTTCACTCATTTTTTCACAGTTTGTCTACTCAATCCCGTTACSCTATTGTACTATCATCCGGGGAAATTCACAGGAAGAGCCTGGACRTGTTGTTCTTCGTTAAAACACAAGACTAGTCCAGGATGTAAACCATCCACAATACCAGGTACCAAATATAACCATGGTTACTGGGTTTACTGGGTCACGGATCCAGGATGTAAGGGGATAGTAAGCATGCGCAGTTTGGGAAAAGGAAAAATATGGGAGTACGGGAGGGAGAAGAGGGACGGGGGAGAAAAAGGATACTTCTTYTCACTCGGTACCCTGTGATTCCGAGGCCAGACCACCTCTTGGTCACTTTTATTTTTTACTAATTGTGCTAAAATATTCATACTTTTAATGTGAATATTTTTTTCTAAACAGGACTTCCAGAAATAAGAAAGCAAAAATTCAAGGTAACTGGAAATGATTATAAGAAGGG